TTAAATGTTGATGTTTATCTGCCTAGTTAGCTCTATAGTTGCTAGGGAGGTATGACGGCAGCTGCTCTGAATGGAGCAGTGTTTGTGTAAACAGCTAGAAGAGGCCTCCTCTGTGACGTCAGCATCAGGTATGAGCTCATCCACCATGGAGTGATGGAAGAGCAAACACAGGAGGGTTAAAAACTATATTCACTGTCCATTCCTGAAGGGGAGCCTGCTGTGGGCATATAAGAATGCACCGAGTCGGTCATCTCCACACATCCTAAAGTTCAAAACTCCCCAGCTGACACGGCTACCCTTGTGATGTCACACAGTAGCTATGAAACCAGTAGTGACGTAATGAGGCTATAAGTGGGAGGCAGCGATGTGCGTAAACCAAGACTAGGATAGAAGGCAGGCCTTGACCTGGAATAACTACACGGGTCACATGACCGAAAAAACAGTATGACGGCAGCGCTAAATTAGGAATATCACTCTGTCAGCAAATTCTCAAGAGGCAGGAGGTGCTGAGGGTTCATTTTCATTTTGGAAAGATAATAAACTTGACACAATACATTAGCATGACATTATTATTATAGTTACTTATGCTGATGCCAGCTGTATTCCTGAGAATAATTGAACTCCCGGACCTCTCATTGCAATGCTTGAATGACCAGAAAGTAATAATTACTGTTTTTTAGCTCTGCAAATCAATTGTAAGGGGCTCATACTTAGACTCTTTTTCTCTTGGATAGAGCTTTGATCGGGCGCACAAATCGACACGGCCATACATAAACCTGCCCCAACGTTTAGATCCTTTTAAAACTTTAATTTCCAATGTGAAGAAAGCAAATATTCAATAAACAATATTTTTCAAGCTCAAGTCTACTTAAGTTTTTCAGTAAGGTAAAATATACTGTATTTGTATCATGATCTCCAACATGGGCCTTCTCATACCAAATTGTCAGCAAAACACAAAAAAAACATCATATGCCATTGCCATTTATAAAGTATGTATAATTTATTCTTATCAATGAGAGCTGAGACTTGTGACCTGAGCCGCAGGTCAGGCCCAATCGAGTTAGGGCAGAGAATCTAATCTTTACTCTACAAAAACAATCACTTGCAATGCTACTATTAAGTTAGCTGCTAAGTGGTAAACATAGGACAGCATTTTGCTAAAGAGGCAATTTTTTCCTCTGAATGCGACCAAAACCAGTCAAAATTAGACTCAAATGTACGAGGTAGAGACAAACAGGACCAAATTAATGCTTATGTTGCTCCATATTTATTTGATGTTTAACGAAGTTTTCTATCAAGGTCATTATAAACTTCACAAGCTGTTAATACGTAATTGTTCCGTTTACAAAATCAGTTATTGAAAGATTCATTGAAATTAAGGCCAGACAGAGAGGCCCTATTTTGTTAATGTTTTAATATTGTTGTTTTATTGGCTGGAGATTTTATTATTGGAACACAACAAAAGATGAAACAATTTCCCAAATAGATTAATTAATAAAATGATTTAAAGCTGAACATATTTTGACTTTCACATAGAAATCTTATAATTATGACATAAAGTTGGTTAACAATGCAATTGTTACTCTAACCGTATCAGTGAATCCACTTATCACCAGCATACTTAAGATTCATTGGTTTAGACAATATGTTTCCAACAAGTGAAAGACTAGAAGACTTAAGGTCAGACAGTTTTCACGCAGGTATGTTCAACAACACCGACGCCAACGAGCACAAAGCTGAACAGACTCCCCTGACATTTGTATCACCACCACACAGTTCCATTACTGATTTTAACCCACGGCTATTCTTTTAAACAAATATCTCGCTCTATACTTAGCCTTGACATATCTGAGCCTACCACACACAGAGCCATGTTTCCTTTGGCCTCCGCGGTCAACCCATCCAGATCTGCAGAACAGTGAAGCATGTGGCCTGATATTCAGAACAGGAAAAACCTTGAAAGAGTGAGCTCAGTGAAAAACAACCAGCAGACAAAACAACACCCAGATAACGGTAACTACACTCACAGTTGCAATAACAGTCACAAAAACAGGAATCAACCTCTTTTGGCTCTCTGTTGACCTTACATTTACTTTGTTTTCTTATAATCTTGCCATTGACAGACTTCTTATTCATAAAATGCCACTCAGACATACCTTTAATTCTTTAAATTGGCCAGACTTGATGCTATATGTTCAAGTCAAATCCACCAAAGCTTGAAAACTACAAAAGAGTTTGACTTGATCTTCAAACAACATCCCTTAACACCGTTAAAGAAATTGCCTGTGATGTCAAATAAGCTGAGAGAAACTCCATTAGTCTGCATGGAAGATAAAAATGTCAATGCCAAGTTTGAGTGTTGTTTTGCAGCGTGGCCAGAGCACGTTCCTCTATCAAGCTGTTTCCTTTAGATATCATGGAGTGGAAGTTTTGGCCTTGGTGCTGTGATGACTAGACTGACAGCACACACACACACACACACACACAACACACACACACACACACACACACACACAACACACCACACACACACACACACACACACACACACACACACCACACACACACACACACACAACACACACACACACACAACACACACACACACACACCCACACACACACACACACACACACACACACACACACACACACACACACACACTTTCCCTGGTCTGTTTTGACAGACAAAATACTCCACACACACAACACACTTTCACTCTGTGTTTTTCCTAGATCAGACGTTCTAAAAGGGGTCCCTACTGTACGGCGGCAGCATAGACAGAGAACGTATCCATATTAGGAAAAGAGCTGACGTCCTTATATGGAAAGGCTTCCTCTGTAGTAACAGCCCTGTCTGCTGGCTCCTCTCTCACATTCCTCCTGCTCCAGGTTTCTCTGGGAGTTTTTCATTTCCGATTCGCTGGCTGAAGAAGGAGCAGGGCCGCCTTTCATAAGAGTCTCGCCTGGTGTGTGATCCCCCTTATGCAAAAAATACACAAACCTCCGTCTAGCCCCTTTCCTGCAATCCTCCACTCTGGGGTTTGATGTAGTAAAATAAGCCTGGCCAGGGACAGGGCACACCTGGCCTTTTTAAGTTCGTCATAGACTAAACCTCATTAGGCAGGTGACAAGCCAGAGAACATAGTCTTTGTTCCCGTAATATCTGCCCCTCATGCTTCCATGGGCCGCACTTTCACTTAAGTCGACTCAGGATTTTTAATCATCATTTGTCCTGACTAAGACCCCTGGACAAAAAAACACCCAAGTAAAATCCCCAAGCTTTTGTTTTCAACCGAATCCTCCTTTTAGGTAAAGCAGTCTTATGCTGAATTCAACAAAGATCCATTATGGGAAGAGCCATTACCTGAGAACGTTTTCTTTGTCCCTGAATACCTGCCCTGCATACCTTGGCAGGTCACTCAGCTCAGGTAGCGCAGGAAACAGACCATTAGGATCATCTTGTCAGATTAACTGCAGAAATGAACGACAGACATAGCAAATATTATTTCAACCATTTGCTAAATCCATTAGGTTAAGTGTCATATGACTTGTATCATTTATAAGTATCTGGATGAAGAAGGTACATATTGTAATAGCTCTGCTACTTTAGTCTTCTCCTCCACTACATTTCACAGGCAGATATTATACTCTTTTACTACACTACATTTATAAAGATTAGGATTTCACTTAAAAGAGATAAGCCATATCATGCAAATCATTCTAAAAATATGAATGGATGGTTCCCAACCTTTTTTGCCCTGTATTAAAGAGATATGTCTGCTATAGTTCAGATGCTGAGATATAAACAATTGTTTGAATGACCCAATATTTCCAAAATAAGCAAAAAGAAGAATGAAATGTTTACAAACTGTGTATCAGAACCTTGTTTTTTCATCTTTCCCACTCAAAAGATCATCTCCCGACCCCTTGGACTTATCTTATGACCCTCAGGGGGGCCTCAAGCCCTAGATTGGGAAATACTTTACTGTACACACTGTAGTTACAACTAGCTCCACCTGGACCATTTACAACCACTTTGCATTGCATTGACTTAAAAGTATTAACAATCGTACTGTGTATACAGTCACTAAGGCCAAAAACAAGTATTATTATAGGACTTCTAATAAACAGTATTTTTTACATTATTGTATAGCTGTTACTTCATTAACAGGTTGAGATGCTTCTTATCTTATCTGTATATCCTATACTCCTGCTGCACAAGAGATCATAATGTGCTCATAATGTGTTTTAATATTTAGTGCTTAAAGCTGCAGTTCAGCCACTGATGTCAGTACACAAAAATGCCAAGGCGGTGTCCAAGATGTTACCACAGGAGTACAGAAGACAAACTAACAGGAGGTAGGCAGCGGGAGCCAAGCACCTTGTTAGATAAGTAGCTCAAGTTAATGAGTCAAATGAACTTCCTTTCCCTAACAGCATGCTGCTAATGTATTAAAGTCTGTGTGCCTTTGAAGCTGAGGAATGCTGTAGTGGGCTTACAGTGTTAACCACTCATCACACATCAAGCATTTTTATTTATCCGTCTCATGTGGATGCATCTTTAAGACTTTTTTTTTTTTACTTTTCTTCTTTCATTCAAAGCTTTTTGTGCCTTCACTTTTGAACTGAGCTGAAAAAAAATGTTCTTCATCTTTTTTTGAAATTAATATTTATAGGTACCGGCTGTCTGTTTGTGAAGTCAGTCTCCAGGAATTCCCAGTGTGGGGTCCCAGGCCTCTAACCAGACTTAACCTCCCATTCCAGATGAAAGCCCGCTCTGAGAGAGAGACGGTGTTGTTTGGCCGAGCAGCAGAGCCTTGCCTTCAGACAGCAGGAATGTGGGATGTCTGGAGTGGGGGTCAGGAAGCGAGGAAAGAATGCCAAGTATGTCCATGTTTGTCCAGGGCTGGCTCTCCATTCAGCCCCCAGTGACGTGCTACGAGGGCCAGCGAGTATAAAGGGAGCCGGGCTCCGCAGTCAGAACTCAGATCAACTCCTTCTACCGAAGCTAACCTCTAGCTTTCACCAAGAGAAAGAAAAGACTGTGACCGGAGCTGAAGAGAAACTCCACGAGACAACAGATCAACTTGATCAGAAACGGTTTCTACAGCTCAAACTCTGAGACTAACGGAAGACTTTCTCAACGAGACTTAAGGAAAAAATCTATTTCTACAAGGAAGAAAAGATGTCTGCTGGAATGAAGAAAATTATTTTGCTGCCTTTCCTGTGCATCATGCTCTCACACATGGTAAGTCAAAAACACATTGAGAATTACATCTCACTGCTGTTCTTTTTAAACTTTTAATATAGTCTTAAATTGAGTCTTTAAACTCTTTTCATAGTGACAAAAGCCTAATGTTAAAATGACTGTGTGCTGGATGTGAAACTATAACTTTGAAACACTTTGTGGAGATGATATTTAAATAAGTGTATCTGTATGTGTTCAGGCTGCAGGTCAGGAGTGCAGCAACCAGTGCTCGTGCCCCTCCACCCCCCCTCAGTGCCCCCCAGGAGTGAGCCTCGTGCTGGACGGCTGCGGCTGCTGCAGGGTGTGTGCCAAACAGATGGGAGAGCTCTGCACTGAGAAGGACCTCTGTGACCCCCACAAAGGCCTCTACTGTGACTTCGGAGCCCCCATCAATAGACGCATCGGAGTGTGCACAGGTGAGCCATTGACATTTGTTTTTCTGCGTCGCCCCGCTGTAGATCATTATCTCTCCTTTAATGTTTGAACCGAATCATGACCTTTCCCTTGTCGTTTACCCCTAACAGCTCGAGATGGAGCCACCTGTGTGTTCGGAGGCATGGTGTTCAAGAGCGGAGAGTCTTTCCAGAGCAGCTGCAAGTACCAGTGTACCTGTCTGGATGGAGCTGTGGGGTGCGTCCCACTTTGCGCAATGGACATCCGCCTGCCAAGCCCCGACTGCCCCATGCCAAGACGCGTCAAGGTGCCCGGGAAGTGCTGCGAGGAATGGGAGTGTGATTCTCCCAACAGACACAGCTTCATGGGCTCTGCTTTGGCCTGTAAGTTCTCTTTTGAGCACCCGAAAGTATAGTTCATTCAATGGACTTGACATAAAGAGGAGGCATTGCAGATGATGTTTCTAATCCAGTGTTTGCTCCTGTGTTTACAGCTTACAGAGAGGAAGAGACCTATGGCCCCGACCTCTCCATGATGAGGGAGAACTGCCTGGTTCAGACTACTGAATGGAGCGCATGCTCTAAGACTTGCGGCCTTGGGGTCTCCACCAGGGTCACCAATGATAACCGTGAATGCCGCCTGGAGAAACAGAGCCGGTTGTGTATGGTGCGACCATGCGAGTCACAGCTGGAGCAGAGCATTAGGGTGAGTTTTTGTTCGACAGCACTGCTTTCAAAACCTCAACAGAGTCAAAGTGAAATGGCAAATACTCAAAGAATGCTTAACTAAGTTGTGTTCCCTCTTCTTTTCCTCCTACAGAAAGGGAAAAAGTGCATCCGTACTCCCAGACTCTCCAAGCCCATGAAGTTTGAGATCTCCGGCTGCACCACCACCAAGTCCTACAGGCCAAAGTTCTGCGGCGTGTGCCTGGACGGCCGCTGCTGCACCCCCCACAGAACCACCACCCTGCCCATGGAGTTCAAATGCCCAGATGGACAGTTCATGAAGAAGCACATGATGTTCATCAAGTCCTGCGCCTGCCACCACAACTGCCCAGGCGAGAACGACATCTTTGAGTCTATGTACTACAAGAAGATGATGGGAGACATGGCATGAGCCACTTAAAGAACGACCGCAGCTTATGACTTGAAAAACAAAACTCCATCTCATTTTGCAGCTCATTATATATGTCTATGTTTTATTTTCTCATTGTAAAAGTAGTCCAGACACTTGTCGAAGTGTCGGTGTGTTTTGTACGGCTGGCGCACATCAGCCCATAGACTCAGACAGAGGGTTGCATAGCAGCTCCGAGAGATTCCTGCACTATAACTTCTATTTTTGACAAACCTACTGTCAGGTTGCTGCCCATTCCCCTTGAAACCCCTTTAACAGACCCGTCCTTTTTACTGTATTTTGTATATCTTATCTAAACCATGACCTCCTCTCTAAATGAGGTGTCTAATAACTCCCCCCACCCTAAGAGCCCAGACCAGACCTGGAAACTCTAAGCAGCTGTAGACCACAGCAGGCCAGTGTTCCCCTGAGCAAACAGGTCTGAATGTGTCCTGTGTGTGTGTGTGTGTGTGTGTGTGTTTTGTGTGTGTGTGTGTGTGTGTGTGTGTGTGTGTGTGTGTGTGTGTGTGTGTGTGTGTGCGCGTGTGTGTTGTGTGTTTTTGTCTGTTAGCACAGGCCTGAATGTCGGCCTTGTCTGCGCTGTTCACCTTGCTCCAGAGTAGAGGAAAGGTCAGAGATCCGACCAGCATGTGGATGAGAAAGCAAGCAGCGTGCTGAGTTTAAGGTTAGATAAGGAACACAGTGGGCTTTGCCATGGCACTGAGAAAAAAAGAAAAAAAAGACGACTGTTACCGATTCAGGTCAGAAGAAGGTAACCAAGTGTCTACTTTGCACCACAAATAGAGAAAAGACTGGAAGAATTGTTATTTCATTCCTTTTTTATTGTTGATGTGTAAATAATGTTTATATTTGTACAGTTTAAGTTAATTTAAAATCAACATTTGTTCTGTGCTTCCAAATGTATCAATAGTGTATTTTTTACAATTTTATTGAGAAGTGTGACAAAACTGTTACATGTTTCACTTTGTAGCTGGAAATAAAACGTTATATATTTTTATACAAATGTGTTCTCCGATCTTTCTGTCTTCAGCTTTGACACACATCTCCTCTTTGGTCCATTGGATGTGTTACAAATCATTTCAAACTAAGCATTAAAGGTAAATGCATCACATCACAACGATCTGCATAACTAGAACCTTTTAATGTTTCATATTTAAGTGCTAGTATGAATTATGAATGAATGAACTAACTGATGTTAGTATCACTCTCAAGTATTAGCATATGAGTTCATCAGCAGGGAGTTTTCCTTATGATGAAGCATACAGATGGTTTTATTGCCACCACAGGAGTTACATTTGTTGGGTTGTTGTTCCACTTTCAACTAAGTTCATTTATTTTATTGTAATGCATTATTCAGTAAATAAAAACATTATAAAACACAAAGAAAACATACATGATGCACAAGATCGGTGGCTGTTGAAATTAACCTTTATATGTTAGCTAAACTAAAAGAGGGTTCTTATAATGTATTAGCCTATGCTTGATGCAAGGGTTTCATACTTTTCCAAAAGTAAACTAGTAATTGCATGATTTTAAGTTATTAATAAGAAAAATTAAAATGTTCAAGAGAGACTGTGGTGGCCTTTAAGATGTCCCTCGCTGACAGCACTCACCTTTGGAAAAGAGCATCGAGACTGTGTAATGTCGCCATCTGGTGCCCTTTTCAACGTGCTGTCATGGACTTCTTTAAATACGATTTTCAGCTTGTTTTGATATCCATTACATAAATATTAATAAGGAGTAGACCTTTACAGCCTTACATAAATCTCGCTGTTCCACAGTTGTAATAGTTGGTTAAACAATATTTATATAATATGTCTAACAATGTCAATCCTAGCTTCTCTACCCATCTTTTAAATGTTTGCTCATGTTAATCATGAATAAATACTACCTTTTAATTGATGTGATTTGTTAGCTGTGCCATAGCATATCATGAAGGAAAACCATTTTTAGATTTGCACATATGTGTTAGGTTAGTACATATTGTCCATGGACACAGTTCCTAACAGCTTTCAGTCTGCAGCAGCTATATTTATTTAAGCTGCCAGAGCAAGCAGAACTTTCTTTTGCATTTCCTCCTCCGCCCACACTCTATTCTTGTCTCTCCTCAATCCATTTTTACTTCTGCTGAAGAGCTCTCAAAATGTTGCCGTCCAAATGCAGAGATTATTTTTAATACCGCACTGTGAGTCCAAATGCTGGCTCTTTCTGCTTAATAGTAGCAACCAATGAATCATTTAACACTGACGCTAAAACTAAAGGTTAAATGATGTTGTCTTTAATGTTCTGCATGTACAGTATAAACAGTGATGATTCATACTCTCAGCGTCTTCGCCCACAAAAAATGAGATGTGCTGTGTGAGTAAGAAATACAGTATATTATTATGTTAAACAATTTCATTTAATTGGTCTTTACTGTTTTCTCTTTATTTTTGTGATGCAAGTGACGCCAAAAACGTACATTTCAACAGTTAAACAATCCATTGAGATACCTAGACGGTTGTAAATGGGTTAGAAAGCAGAGTTTATTGCAATAACTCTTTTGCAATTATTTATTTCGTTTAAAAAAACGCATTAAAAGGAATGAACAAAACAGAGATTTCAAGATAAACTATTCAATTTATTGGTTTTCTTACATAAATGAATTACAGTTCATCATCTGCTAAAAATGTTCACTTATTGCCTTGGCATGATTAGAGTAATCTGTATCTGTAATAAGTAAGCATCTACATATCTGTCCCCCATTAGTAGGTACGCATCCCAAAAAGAGCTCTGTACATGTATACATGCCGCTACTGTACAACCTCACCTTGTCTGTGTGTTTCAACCTGCATATGCCTCAACACAAATCCAATTGCAGTGTTAAAATCATTTTGAAGCAGGCGAGATACATATGCAAAAAAAAGAGAGAGCTGATTGTCAAAGAAAAGGGAGAAACATGTTGTCAATCTACTGACAGAGGGGTTTTTCCTTCAGGAGCTTTGAAGTGTGCTCTGAATATTTGTTATGCATGTGTTAGAACGCACAGAACTTGTGCATCTGTTTGTTTTTTAGTATGCAAGTCTTACTGCTATGTGCATCTACTGTATGATAATCTATGCGAGGGAAAGGAGGACACAGAGGAGGCCGCAGCTGTGGGCAAGTGGGCATCCTCTGGAACAATAGCGAAAGATAACCAATTATTGTCACACTCAAACGCTCTATCTGTGTAAAACAGGCAGCCGATGAAGCGGAGGAGGACGAGGGGGCAGAGGAGGTTGCGATGTCAACTTTTTTTTAAACCAATCTCTCATCTCAGCCTCGCCGCATCTCATGGAGTTTCTGGGCAACATTTTCCAGCTCTGACTCGATGGCTGCCAGGCTTTCAATCTCTGGCTCCTGCCGAAATAATGAGGGGAGAGCAGGACAAATATTTTTAGAGTGCAAACAATCATGTATTTTCTTTAACAAAAGCACTAAAAGTATTTAGACACAATCAGCTGCATTTCATTTGCTGTTTTGACTGTTAGCAAGAACACCATATCACCCGAATCGCCTCCTTTAGCCTCATACTATTGCAACACATATGTAACAGTTGGTGGCTAGTAAAACAAGCCCAATGAATAGCAGGATTAAAACTTGCTGTCAAGCAGCGGCTGCGCCATTTTGTATGTTTATGGGATTTAAACTGTAGGAGATATTCTGCTTCATTATTTGTTTGTCAGTTAATCACAGCAACCTTATCAGTGTTTGGGCTTGAGCTAGCAAACCAGCTACATGCGGCTACAACAATTGCTAGTCAGCCATGTAGAAAATCTAATCTTAAATAAAGTAAAATTAACAAAACAGTTTAACGACTTGGGAAATATGTTTATTTGCTTTCTAGACAAAAGTCAAGTGAGATGATAGAATCCACTCTCATATCTGTAGGCTAACTTTCAAGCTAGCTCAAGAAGCTGTTAGCTTAGCTTAATTTAATGACTGGGAACAAGGGGAAAGAGCTAGCTTGTCTTTGTCCAAAACCCCTATAACTTCAAATTAAGTTTTCTAACTTGATATTCAATAAATTAAATCTAGTTGTTTAATCTGTAGAAAATGTTAAAAAAGTGCAGATTTACAAAGTATTTATCAGCCTGACTATGTGTTACCAGTTAACAAGAAAAACAAGATATACCATGTTAAAATATTAGCATAAGCGTGAAAACAGTTACAGTTTGCTACGCTTTGACAGAGCCATCTGTTTCTGTCTTTTAGCTAAATTAAGCTAACTTGCTGCTGTCAGTAGCTTTACATTCACTACACACAGTAAAGTGGAATCAATCTTCTTATCTAACTCGCAGGAAGAAAGCAAACCAATTTGTTTCCCAACAAGTTGAACTCTATTAATTTTAGCTGCTTGACAGAGCCCTAACACTTGTAAGGAGATAAAGGGGTGGATTGCACACCTCTGTCTTCCGGCTGCCGCTCCCCTCCTCCTCCAGCCCCCTCCTCTCCTCAGGTGTCCTTCTAGCGATCATCTGCAGCTCCTTCTCCTCTGGAGTCCTCATGGGTGTTTCTCTTCTTCTCCTCCTCTTCATTCCGTGAGCTCTTGCGAGTGATGTGGCACCTCTGTTCTGTGTTGAGCTCCTTTCCGACTGCTTTCTTCCTTAACGCCAAAGCCTTGCCCCTCTTGGCCCATCGCTTCAGGCCCCCCTCCTTCTTCATCTCTCTTTCATCCTCTTCCTGTTTCTTCTCTGGTGCAAATCTCTTGACATCGTCCCATTCTTCTTCAACAAAGGTCTTCTCTTTGATTTGAATCTGGGAGTATCTCCATTTTCACCAGATCCAGCACCTGAATATGAAAATAAATAATGTTTTTTTTTGTACTGTGACACTTCACTACAGCAGGCTCATACTCTCCAGTCTCCAACATCAGCAAGATTCCACTTCTCCTAATGAAATATGTCTTGCCAGCTGGCAGCTCTGCCCCCCAACACTGATGGCTGTGCTTTATGAGAACTAAAAGCATGGCTGGAGCATATAGATGACTTGGCAGAGGCTCACTTTTAGAGAAAAGGTATTTCATTGTATGTTGCCATTTTAGCTCAGAGAAGAATAATCCCTCTGTTAATCTGTTGAAAGGTCTGGAGATTAAAACCACATCTTGATTTCAGTCTCGACACAAGGATAGAGAGTATGGTTAAGTAATCCAGCTGTAACTAGCTCATTTGAATTCTGGGACATGCAGACTTTTAATCATCTCTGTTGGTGTGCTGTCAGTTTGCCAGCCTGTCGGCCCCCTCCCCTGTCAGGGGGCTGATTTCATCATGCAGATGGAAGCACTTCCATCAATCACACAGTCCTGTGGAGGCAGGCGGTTTCAACTACAAAGCTTTGCACTCTCCCTATCTAAAGAATCTGCTATCTGCCTTTGGTCAACTTTTTTTGCATATTTTAATTAGCTTGGATGTCATTATTCTTGACATAAAAACACAAGATTTGAATGGAAGTGAAAACATCAAGATCTAAATATTCATGTTTCCTGACATTTCTCATTTACATTTTTTTGTTTCTTTCATTCCAACAGAAATGATCTGCAAACATTAGAGAGGCATACAGTGAGTAAAGAGGACATGTCTACGTGCCTTTCTTCTGCTTAATCACGTGTTCCTCCTCTGAATTCGCTCTCTTCTCTTCTTCCTCTTCTTCCTCCTCCCTCTTCTCAGCCTTGCCCTCAGTGGACTCATCCTCAGACTCGGAGGCGTGACTTCCTGGGCTCTCGTTCTTTTCCCTCTTCTCTTTCACCTCTCCAGCGACGTGATTGTCCTCCTGTGACTCTCCATTTCCCCGGCTGTCCTCCTTTTCTTCCTCTCTGTCTCCATTTCCATCCCTCTTCTTCTGGGACAGGATGGATCGTTCGCCTGGGCCTCCTAAAGCCTCCAACATGGATCGATCTGAAAATGGGGGGGGGGGGGGGTTAATTTACTAAAGAACATTGATTTCCCCGTGATGGTAACGGAACAGTTTATTGACGATGCCACTTCC